CCTGTGTCTCTCTCTCTCTTCCCCTCCTGTCTCTCTGTTTCTTCTCCCTCCGGTCTCTCTCCCTGTGTCTCTTCTCCCTCCCGTCTCTCTCCCTGTGTCTCTTCTCCTTCCAGTCTCTCTCTCTTTCCCTCCTGCCTCTCTCTCAGTTCAATTCAGTTCAATTCAAGGTGCTTTATTAGCATGACCGATGGGTACAGTCAGTGTTGCCAAAGCAAATAAAAATAATAAAATTAACATGAAACAAAACAAAAAGTAAAATCTACAGACAATTACAACTAAGACATATCATAAATATTTACATATACTGTAGACTGACAGAGCATTATTGGGAGACAGACTCACTGTTCCTCAGGCTGTGACAGGAGATCACATACTGGGTTGCCAGTTCAACTGAGTTCCCTCCTCCTTCTCCCAGTAGGACTAGGACCTGTTGTGATTCTGGCAGGTGTGGGAAGTGCACCTCTGTCTCTATTTCTCCCCGCTGGCAGTGGGAGCACAGCCTGTCCTCTCTGTGTCACCCAGTTTCTATGGCCAGGCTGTGGTCACTGAGCCTGTCCTCTCTGGGCAGCCAGGTCTGCCTGTGTCGCCCAGTTTCTATGGCCAGGCTGTGGTCACTGAGCCTGTACTTCATCAGGGTCCGTTTCTTTTTGCTGTTTCTTATCTTGGTCAAATATTCGGCTAGTGTGTATTGTCTGTTTAGGGTTCTGTAGCATTCCAGTTTGTTGTGTTTGTGTGTGTGTCCCAGTGTGTGAGATATTGCTGTTTGATCTGTGCTGTGATGTGGTAGAGTCTGAGTTGTGGTGCTCTAGCAGTGCTGTCCTGAGGCTGGTTAGTGTCGGTGTGGATTGGGTCAGTGAACCTCAGGACCAGCTGGCTCAGGGGGCTCTGTTTTGGGCTCAGCTCTTGGTTCAGCAGGGCTTTGTGGTGGTAGGAATTTTGGTCGCTGTCTTTTAGGTGTAGCCAATACTTGAATACTCTTTTCTGTATGTTTATCAATAGTGGGTACTGGCCTAATTCGGCCCTGCACCCGTTGTTAGTTGTTTTTCTCTGCACACGGAGGATGTTTCTACAGATCTCCATGGGCAGAGTTTCTGGGGGGTGTTTGTCCCATTGAGTGTACTCCTGGTCTGTGGGGGGACCTCACACTTCACTGCCGTATAGGACAATGGGTTTGATTACACTTTGAAATATTTGGAGCTAGAATCTTGTTGGTGGGTTGATGTTGAAGAGCCTCCTTCTTATTGCGTAGAAAGCCCTGAGTGCCTTCTCTCTCAGTGCCTTCACTGCCAGGTCAAAACTCCCAGAAGAGCTGATGGTGAGACCGAGATATGTGTAGCTGGATGTGTGCTCCAATGTGTTGTTGTTCAGTGTGAATTTGTACCTGTTACCCTAAGGTCTGGCTTTCTTCTGGAAAACCATAACTCTGGTCTTGTCCAGATTGACTGTCAGCACCCAGGTCTGACAGTACTGCTCCAGCAGTGCAGGTTCTGCTGCAGCCCCTGTTCTCTCTCTCTTTCCCTCCTGTCTATCTCTCTTTCTCTTCCCCCTGTGTCTCTCTCTCTTTCCCTCCTGTCACTCTCTGTCTCTTCTCCCTGTGTCCCTCTCTCTTTCCCTCCTGTCTCTCTTCCTCTCCCGTCTCTCTCTGTCTCTTCCCCCTGTGTGTCTCTCTCTTCCCCTCCTGTCTCTCTTTCTCTTTCCCCTGTGTCTCTCTCTCTTTCCCTCCTGTCACCCTCTGTCTCTTCCCCCTGTATCTCTCTCCCTATGTCTCCCTCCAGAGCCAGAGGAGGTGAGTGTCGAGAGTCGAGTGATTCTGTTTTAATTAAAGCCTCAGAGCTGTCTCTCTGTCTCTGGGATTAAGCGCAGGCCTCTCCTGGGGTTACTGTGTTACCAGATACGACGTGTGTGTGAATTGTCAGTATGGTTCTAATGAATAATACTGCACGCTTGTTTCTCGGTACTAATCTCTTTCCCTGTCTCTCTCCCTTTCTTTCTGTTTTGATTCAGGGCATTGATGAAACGTCAAGCAAGGACAAGTAAGTTTTCTCTTTCAGACAGGAGTGAGAGGGAAGGGAGGGGAGAGGACATCGGGTGATCAGGAATCTGGTGCCTCTGCTGCTGTCTGGTGAGGGGGGTGTCATTGAGCTTCATGTAGCGTGAGCGAGAGGGTGTTGCTCTCCAGAGGGGGTAGGTAGGAATAGCCATGGGCTCTTTGGGGAGAGAGGATGAGGTCACCTGGGGTTTGAAGGCCAGATTGCACTATCCTGGCCAGTGTCAGGCAGGGCACACCCTGTACGGGACACCAGTCCATCACAGGACACACACAGAAACAGATACAGACGCACGTACACACTCACACCAGGGCCAGTTTTCCCAGAAGCCAGTTAACCCACCAGTATGTCTGTGGACGGTGGAAGGAAACCAGAGCACCTGGAGGAAACCCACAGGAACATGGAAAGAACATGCAAACTCCACACAGACTGCATCCCAGGAATTGAACCCTGGGCCCCAGCGTTGCGAGGCAGCGATGCCAACCACTGCACCACCTGGCTGCCCTGCTACCCAGATATTAGAGGAAATAAGTTTTATGTAAGCAGATCCTGCACATCCAGCCTTCCTCAGAGCTACAGAATACGTAAAAGTGAGCAATCCCACAACCCTGTTGGGCTCCGGGGTTCCCCTGACCCGCTGTGGCGTCATCCCCCCCCAGCCGCTGCACCCAGGAGGCCATGAACCCCGAGGACGAGGTGGATGAGTTTTTGGGGCGCGCCATCGACGCGCGGAGCATCGACCAGCTGCGCAAGGACCACGTCAGGAAGTTCCTGCTCGTCTTCCAGACCTCCGACCTGGAGAAGAAGGTAAGGGCGGGGGGGGGCAGTGAGACTCCAGGTTCGACTGTGGGGCAGCCTGGAGTTCCTGCAGCAGTGGTGCCAGACGATTCTGTAGGGGCTGCTGTCTGCTATGTAACGTTAGATCTGTTTTTAAGGTAGCGTCGTTTTGTAAGTCTCTGTGTGTGTAGAAATCCAGCGACTTGGGTGTGAAACACAGTTCTTGGAAATCAGACAATAAAGACTGGAGCATCCCTTACTAACGCCACAGTGTGCAGTCCGCAGTCTGCAAGGGGGCGCAGAGAGCCCTCCTGGGCTGAAAGGGAAGGCAGACTGGGCAGGACTGGGGAGCTGGATCTCGGCCTCCAGTGTTAATGGCGGATGCTCCATGCAGGATTGCTGTGTGATTGAAGGCTGTGCATTAGCAGG